CAATTTCAAGAAAAAGTACGAACCAACAATTTTATCAAATATTATGGTCTGATTTCAAAAATCCCTAACACTATGAAAAAATGCCTTAAAGAGAACTGTCTAAATAATGATTTGGATAAGTCTAACACTGGTGATACTTTCTTAAAAAAAAATCATGTGTAATGTGAAAGCCAAATTTGTATATAAACACTTAGTAGATGTAGTTATTCAACTACCAACAATCAAATTTTTGAAATGGGAAGAACTGTTAGTTATTGATACTACAGAATGATCAGAATATTTCATGATAACAAAAAAGTCTTGTAGAGATGCTTATTTAAGAACCTTTCAATTTAAATTTTTGCATAGAATTATAGCAACTAATACCTTTTTGTACAAACTTAAATTAAAAGATACCAAGTTATGTACTTTTTGTAAACTTGGAGAAGAAACCATTGAACACTTGTTTTTTGAATGCCCAATAACTTTTCAATTGTAGCAGTCTTTTTCAAATATTGTGAAACTTTTTTTGTTTGTTAACTTTGATCTCAACAAAGAGAATGTGTTTCTTGGTTGCAAACATGAAAGTTTATTATTGAATCTGCTAGTCATAATTACAAAGAATTATATATATAAATGTAAATTAAATGAAACAAAACCAAATATGGTTGAGTTAAAGAATAAAATAAAGAAATACCAATTTCTTGAATATCATATTGCAAAGAAAAATGATAAAGTCCAAGTCTGGGAACAATTTTGGTCTCCTTTACATGTAATATTTAACTAAGTGTTGTTTTCATATTATCTGTGTTTAGTTAAGAGAAAAGAAATGAGTTATAAACTATGAGCAAATTTATGTCGGTCTTTAAAATCATTGTATTAAAAAGTAGGTCATGATACATATTGTAGCAAAACAGATGAGTGAAAGTATTAGTGTTGCATGTGAGAAAGTCAGAGAGAGAGAGAGAGGAGAGATCAATCAAATACAAGTTATAAGTAACCTAAAATATTCTTATTGTTAAAAATTAATTAGTCAGAGATACATGTTGTATATTGCATTATTTTTCTGTATTTAGCCCTTGATACCCTTGTCAGGTGGTAGTGTATGGGGGTATGTAAAATCCTGACTAGTGAAAAGCAAATAAAAGATAAAAAAAAAAACTATGGTGGCCGGATGCGGCCATTTCGCCTTTTCGCGTTTTCTCCTTTCACTTTCCCGCGAAATCGAGAAATCGAGAAATCGGGAAATCGGGAAATCGAGAAAACGAGAAATCTAAATCGAGAAATCGAGAAATCGGGAAATCGAGGTCTCGGGGAAAGCGAAAACGCGAAATCGAGAAATCTATTTCAATACCCGTTTTCGTGTTTTCGCTTTCGCGTTTTAGCGTTTTTGCTTTTTTGATTTCTCGATTTCGCGTTTTAGCTTTCTCGCTTTCTCGATTTCCCGATTTCCCGATTACTCATTTTCTCGATTTTTTCCTGATTTCCCGATTTCCCGATTAATCGATTTCTCGATTTCGCTTTCTCGATTTCCCGATTTCCCGATTTCTCGATTTCGCGATTTCGCGTTTGCAAAGTGAAAGGAGAAAACGCGAAAACGCGAAAAGGTGAAATGACCGCATCCGGGCACCATAGTCAACAGATATATAATATTATTACGTTGTCTCTGGTTTTTATCAATTATAAATAAATAAATTAAGGTGGTACATTAAGGAAATATTCAGCTTCTCAATGATAATCAAAGTATTGAAGTACTGTACATCGGATGACCGCAAGTTCTTGTGGATGGTCACAAGCACTTGTCTCAGAAAAAAGTCACATCTCTATACCTGAAAGTGAGGTTAAGGTACATAGATTTATTTTTTTCTGAGACAAGTTCGTGCGTGGATGATGAATAAATTACAGGGTATATCCTCATCGTAATAACTATTATATTGTAGTGATACAAATCAGTATACTCTGGTTTGTTGTTATATATTTTATTCATATTTGTATATAATAGTTACATGTATATATAATTTTCATCCATTTGTATATCATTCTATTCTACTATTCTAATAATAGTGCAGTACAAGTGCATGGTGGACACTCTTCTGTAATAATTCGATTTTTCTAATAGATTGGATTTGAGTAGGCATTCATATTTTCCTGCAAAATGTTCTTGGGATATTCTTCCGCATGTGTTAACACAAATTTTCGGTATTCTTGATTTGTTATTGATATACATATTTCTCACGACAAAACATTTTTATATCATTTATCTATGTTCTTAAAAATAATTTTCATGAATATTTATTGATGAAATTGATATGTAACAAGGCGATAAGGAATGTTATTTTGCGTTCGGTTATCAGTCAAAAACGAAAGTCACGTGGATAGAAATGTCTGTGGCAACAATATACCGGAATGCCCTCACGGTAATCCGATGTAAAAATAAGTGTTTGTCAAACTGCTATATATCCCAAGAAATTTTTCTGATAAAGTGTGTGGTTCAAGTTTTTTGAAAAGTTTTATATTTTTGTCAAAGGGTCAAAGTAAATATTTTGTCAAATTTAATGAAAATTTGAAAATTAAACGAACCACATTAATTTATGTCAAGGTGTTTGGTACCACCTTAACTCCATAATACTGTTCTGATCTGTTTGCCTATATATCTGGGTGTCAAATAAAATAAAATATTCTTAAATGCAGTTTAACAAAAACATTGTAACGAACTTACCAGTATCGCAGACGCTTAAAATAACAGCTTTGTTACCAACTGGTAACTTCTCATGTTTATCCCCATGAACATAAAAAATATATAGTGCTATCAAGCATATTATAAACATATAATAATCAATTAAATTATTGCGAAGAAAAATTAATAGAGATATCAAAAGGATCAGTCTTGAAACCGAAAATAAATCAATGTTGCTTCAATGTGAAGGCAAGTTATACACAAGATACACATAAAAATAACACCTAATAAATTTCGCCATTCATCTTTCAAGGTTTGTCCAGAAGGTCGAAACGGGATATTTTTATTACTGTACACGATAGGGAGATGTTATATGATTGACCATGAGACAACTTTGTCCACTTAAGTTCAACCGACGTGCTTGCAAGCATCTATAGGTCTCCGTACGAACCTTAACAATGACCAACACTCAAACCATACAGTCGCCTACAAAGGGTCTTGACATGACAAAATATGAAACATTCAAACCAAAAAAACAAAAACACCGACTGCCTAATTAATGAATAACAATATTAAAAAAAAAACCAAATATGACAGACAGCAACCAACGACACAATGACTGACTTCTGACTTGGGACAGATACATATATAATGTGGCTGGGGTTAAAAAATTTTGTACGCTATAACTCTCCTCCCTAACCAGGAACAGTGGTTTAACAGCCCAACATAAGAACAAACTAGTAGGAAAAGGTTTGACTCATCAGATCGGTTGTAAGTACAACAACTATTATAAGAACAAAAGACACAAAGTAGCTTTCTAAGAGTATTAGCAGTTACTGTGATTTATATCAAAGTCATCAACATCTAATAAATATAGCTTGTTCTCTCAGACCAAAGTATTCATCATTACATGTCCAACAGATTTAGTACGTCATAACCAGTCTGAGAAAAGCATGCTATTTTGCAATGTCAAACATACGTACATAGCATATAGAACCATAACTACATATAGCAATACATATTTAATTGTGATTTGATTTATCAAAAAAAAAAATAATATTAATGTTAGTACCGATAAAATCATTATTCAAAGATCTTAATACGGTGTTAATTTGAAGACCTTTAAGAACCGGTTTATTCAAGGGATCAATGAGTTTAGACAGGCGGTCGTATCTAAATTTACGCGCATTATGAACAACATTACCGTAAAAATTAGGATGTGATATCCCGTCTGTTATAGGAAATCTACAAGTACAGCCATTTTTCCAAACCAAATATTTGTATCTATGAAAGAATTAAGTGAAATGTTTAGGTAATTTAGTATTACGAAATCCTTCACTGCATAATTAACTAGTCATACGTAGATTACGTTCATTGAAATATAAATCTTCACTACAGCCACGATCCTAGCGAACGTGTTTTGGAAACGTTCGCCTCTTTTTGTAAGTATCCCAAACCGCAAAAATTGACCCAAGAAGAGTTTTGCTATTCTGTTTATGTCCTTTCTGTCTGTGATGCTCCCAAACGTTATATTTTATGTGTTAAGCTTTACAAACTATTTGATCAAGAGCAACGCGTGTTGTGCACACTGTAATCGGTAAACATGCAAAAGCTCGAAAAACAGATTTGATGCATGCACCTAATTTTTTAAGCAAAATATATTTTTGTGCAAGGATGTAGCTCATATCTAAGTAATTATGACAAGTTCTCAAAATGAGGCCATTTTTTGTAGTGCATTAAATGCGTCAAGTTTAAGACTAAATTTTAAAATATAAGCGCTTATGTCCGACAGACCAATTTTGTGAACATCTGAAATTTGTTGTTTATTAGATTTATGATATCTTTTGATTTTCGAATTCAAGAGGCCAAAAAGTGGCTTTATCATACTTAGTCCTATTTTATAAGACTTCATAGGTCCATATCGTTTGCATTCAACGTTGTTTATCGGCTTTTTTGTTTTACTGATCTTTCTGAAAACATTGTCATAAGTTGTAATAATACATTTTTACACAACGATTACAACAACTACAGCAGATATCATGTGATAATCTGTGTCAGTATGTTTGTGGGTTAATGAATTTGGTTTGAAAGCAGATCTCTAATTATCTCTGTTAAATTTTTTCAGACTCATATAACTTTACATATAAAATTACCAATTGTCTATTGTTTAAGATCAGATTGGATGCTGATATATCTCGGTTGTTTCAGTTTTGGTATGTTATTGGGATTTGACTCGCGAACATATTTGATTTAGAATTTTTCCTATTGTCGCTCTCTTTTATACTTGCTGTTGACTTTAACATGTGTCAAGGTTCTTATCTTTCCCATGATATCACTACACAAAATGAACATTACGGCTGCCTATCGCTTACTTTGTATTGTTTTCTTCATTTGGTTTGTGTTCAATATTTGTGTGAATTATTATGTCTACATATTTTTATTAATAATTCTGAAATTAACATTTATTTTCTTGGAGCAAAACTATAAAAAGCTGTTACCCGTTCAAAAAAAATGTGTTCTCATTACTGGATGTGATACAGGTAAGTAAAGGCAATTAATCTATAGGTACTAAATTTAAATCGTATATGTATAACTGTATATTTTGGACACAATATCATTGATTTCTTCTTTAAGTATCATAATAATGTAATTTGGCTATGTTTTGGAAAATTAGACACGTGCAATCAAAAGAGAGACTTAGTCATGCTTTGAAAAGTAAATATTGATAACGATTTTAGTAAGTATGGCATTGTTTCTGGTAGATATGAATGAAATACTTCTATGTAATAGTGATGACGGCTACGGAACACTTTATATCAAAATTGGTAACATACAACTAATAATAGGTGTCAAGTATAATTATACTATTAACCAGGCTGAAAAAAGAGGCGGACGATACAATGGGAATATCAAAACTCATAAGTCACCAGTCTACAAAAATTATTAAAACAAAACACCTGAAGACTGAGGGATGGTATCAGGTGCTCCAGAAAGAAAGGCACATTCTTCTCCACATGTGACATCCGTACTGTTGTTCGTGGACATTACAAATTCGGTTTTAAGTCTCGGTCGAAGAAAGAATTTGAATTGACACACGGTGTTGACTGCTGTACCCCTATTTTGACATTTTTACCTTTTATATCTGTTTGTTTTATTCACGCATCGTTGTCAATATAATGGAATTTGATGCGACTGTCATACAAGTGAGAGGTTTAGCGCTATAAAACCAGGTTCAATTCACCATTTTCTACATAAGAAAATGCCTGTACCAAGTCAGGAATATGACAGTTGTTGTCCATTCGTTTGATGTGTTTGTGCTTTTGATTTTGCCATTTGATTCGGGACTTTCCGTTTAGAATTTTCCTCGGAGTTCAGTATTTTTGTGATTTAACTTTTTATAGGACGTGTATGGTTCATTGTGTCTTTCGCTGAATATACTTGCAAACATTGTCGTTCCAAATTTAAAGGTTAACATTCTACGTGGACTTTTTCCGGCCAAATTTAAAGGTTAACATTCTACGTGGAGTTTTTCCGGCCAAATTTAAAGGTTAACATTCTACGTTGAGTTTTTCCGGCCAAATTTAAAGGTTAACATTCTACGTGGACTTTTTCCGGCCAAATTTAAAGGTTAACATTCTACGTGGAGTTTTTCCGGCCAAATTTAAAGGTTAACATACTACGCGGACTTTTTCCAGTAGTCAAACACTTCTTAAATTTTCGATTTTAATTCATTCTTTAATCTGCTGATCAACTGGTAAAACACATCTCCTTATTTTATTATTCTATTGGAAGGTTCAAACAAAATAAAAGGAATATTGTTTTTCAAAGGATTTAAAATATTTGATTAAAAATAATTACAGAATATGTTTCTTCTTATTTGGCCTAGTACCATCTTCAATCAATGATAGTCTTTAGAATTGTTTGATATTGAGATGTCTCACTGGTTGACAACATGGACGGGCATGAAAAAAATGTCATAACCAATATTAACAACATTAAGTGAAAACTAATGTTCTCTAAAAAAAATATAACTGAAATTGCAAAAGGTATACATACCATCAAGTTCGCTCGTTTATTGTACTATGATTTATCTGTGCCGTGATCCGTGTAATCCCGTGTCTATTTTTGGTCAATTGTTGTTGTAAATTAGTTTTGGACATCATTATTGTCTTCAGGTTTTGGACATCATTTGGCCAACCGACTAGCGGATGGTGGTTTCAATGTATTTGCCACTGTTTGGAAAGCCGATAGCGCTGGAGCTAATAAACTTAAAAAAAGAAAGTCAAATGTGCACGTAATTCAGATGGATGTCACCAAAATAAACGAAATAAAAGCTGCTGTTTCTTTCGTGAATACCAAAACTAAACAAAAAGGTAAAGTTAACAAATCAGAGGGATGTATTTAACAAACCAGAAAGGTGTAGCCAAACAAATCGCAAGAATGAAAATCACGGAAAAGCGCTATATTCAAAATTAAAAGAAAGAACAAACAAAAAAACAAACCAAAAACACATTCAAACAAAAAAGACGCTAAAAAGGCGGAATACGTTAAAGCTTATATCCCCAATCAAATGTCTGAAATAATTTTTACCGCACAAGAACCACAAAAATGTAAGATGTTGTCTCAAACTTTTGAAAAGATGGTGTTTTTCACACAATTTCTATGCTTAGATATAGCAACGTAACTGCAGTTTATATGTTTGCTTTTCATAAAAGATAATCATTTTCTGGTGTAAGTATTACACACAGCGGAGAGGTTTATTACATAAGAAGAATGAGAACAAATCTCAACGCGAGTTCAAAATATGACATTGGCATGGGACACATTCGAAGTGACGTTCTACATTTGAAGAAATACACAGCAAACGCACATTTACTTTTGATATGATTCCAGTGTTTATAAATGCTCTGTAAAGATTTTCACTAAAGGCTGCAAACTTAATACAAAATGTAATTAAGTTGCATTAAACATTTTTATCTTTATCTTATGGTGATTTTTTTTTACAAATACCGAAAGCAAAATTATTATCAAGGAAATCACAGAATTTGAATTGTGCATTTCTATTCAATATAAAATTTCACGGTGAATTTACCTATTTCGTTGTGTTGCATGAAAACAAAATCGGTAACCAAACATATTTTTAAATTCTGAAAATATACAATGAACGATACCACTTCATATTTCACCTCAAATTCTTTTCTCTAGCTTCCTATCCTTGCATATAACTGTGCTTTACAATGTATACTAGTAATCATTACAAAATAAAGATGTTCAAGGTTAGTTCACATTAATAGCTTAAACACAAGGTAGGTGACACTCAATTAAGTATATATTTTTTTAAATAGCATGACACAAATTATATTTTGGCAAAGTGTGGGAAGGTTCCTTCGATTTAAGTTTGTGCCCTGAACCGCATAAAAATAAATAAAACAAAATTATTAAATATATTGGTAAGGAGGATTGCACAATGTGAAAATGCGAAGATGTGTCGTAATGACAAAATAAACCGTCACCTGAAAACATGAGGGAATACATAGGTCACTTTCAGGCTTATAAATGAACCTTTCAATTAGGTGCATTTTTTTTTTAAATTTTGAAAATATGCAGGCTTATGGGGTGTAGTAAACAATGCCGGATTCAACATATATGGAGATGTGGAAATATGTACCATGGATCATTATAGAGCTGTATTAGATGTAAACCTGTATGGAATGATATCGGTTACTAAGGCATTCTTACCACAGATCAGGAAAAACCAAGGTAAACTTTCACGTGGAATATAAAAGTACGAAAGAAAAATAAATTTAGGTGGAGAAGAATCTTAGAAAAGACAGAATTCTTCGCAAAGATCAGCAGTCAGTCAGAGCTAACTTATACATCATGTAGATATTAATAAGGACAAATAAACTGAAACACAAAAGAGTGCAATTAGAGGAGACACTATAAACACAAAAATAATCGTTTTGCAGAAGGAAAGTGGTCTTGTGTCACATAGAACATTTCCTGGTAAATGTTTCACAATTGTTTATACGTTTACGGTTATAACAACTAATTAAAGCATATCTGTTGCACAACGAGAACCGGAAACTATTGATAATCATAATATTGATTTAAAGAATAACTAATCAAAGAATTCAAATATCGGTAAAGGTTCAGAGTGTTTGAACATTTAATTTCGAATGCACATAGAGCATGAGTGATTATCACTGCTGTCGGTCATGAGTTGAATGTAGCTTAAAATGCAAAACAAGGCCTTTCAAAAAAGCAACAATTTAACTTGGTAGTGTCTCTCAAGTACACATGTATGTGTATTTATTCAGGTCTGGAGAGCTTCGATGTTAAATTAAAAAAAAAACACTCGCAAAAGGTTGCAATAGTTTATCAACAGTGCATTAACAACAAACTGTTCATGTTTTATAGATATGACAGATATCTGTACACATTTTACATACTCTTTACACAAAATCTTGAACATTTGTATATGCTAAAGGTTCCCTGGGCTTAATCGGCTTTCCGAAAAACCTTTCGGAATTTTGGGTCCTCAATGTTCTACAGCTTCGTACTTTATTTGGCCTATTTAACTTTTTTGGATTCGGGCATCCTGATGAGTCTTTTGCAGACAAAACGCGCGTCTGGTGTACACAATTTTAATCCTGGTATCTATGATGAGTTGATTCACAACCACTAGGTCGATGTCACTGCTGGTGGAGGTTTCCTCCCTGAGGGTATCACCAGCCCAGTTGTCGGCACTTCTGTGTTGACATGAATTTATCATTGTTTTGGTCATAATCATAAATTAGCTGTTTACTTAACTTTGAATTTTTCAAAATACTAAGGATTTTCTACCCAAGGAATAAATTACCTTAGCTGTATATGTATTTTGCAAAACCTTTCGGAATTGTTGGTCCTCAATGTTCTTCAGCTTCCGTACTTCATTTGACATTTTTTTTACCTTTTTTGAATTCAAGCGTCACTGATGAGTTTTTTACAAACGAAACGCGATTCTGGCGTACACATTTTTAATCCTGGTATGTATGATGAGTTTATTTCTGACTTTGACCTTAGGAGGGAAATAAATATAAAGAAAGTGGTAAGAACCCTTTGATGAGGATTTACGAAAGAAGAGCACTCATAAGTGTATATATATTTGTTTGGTGATCTTAATACAAATGTATAGATGCCGTATAAGCAACTTTAAAAGGTCCTGGGATGGCTAAATGTGAAACAACTCACATGGGAAAACCAACGTCCTGATTAATGCTTAAAACGAATAAAAGAAAAACAAAAAATTTGGCAACCAACGACAATCACTGAATTACAGGCTCCTGACTTGGTGATGGCACATAAAGAATGTGACAGGATTAAACATGTCTGTGGACGTTCAATCCTCCCTTACATTGGACAATGTAATAATCGCACAATATAAGAACAAACTGTAAAACTCATTTGGAAAGGACTTGATTCATTAGATCGGTGAGAAGAACAAAACAAAGACACCAATTTAAGAGTACTCGCAGTTACTGAAAGGCGGCTTAAAGTCAATTTCGAACAATAAATAAACATTGTTTTCAATACTAAAAGAAAAGATCTTCAAGTTACTACAAAGTTAGAGCTGAGATCACCCCCCGGTTTTTGGTGGGGTTCGTGTTGCTCAGTCTTTAGTTTTCTATGTTGTGTTTTGTGTACTATTGTTTGTCTGTTGGTCTTTTTCTTTTTTTGCCATGGTGTTGTCAGTTTATTTTCGACTTATGAATTTGAATGTCCCTTTAGTATCTTTCGCCTCTCTTTTAGATTAATAACATTTAAGAATAAGTTTACTTAAAGTATCGATAAGTTTACTTACAGTATCGATAAGTTTACTTACAGTATCGATAAGTTTACTTAAAGTATCGATAAGTTTACTTAAAGTATCGATAAGTTTACATGGGTCGTATCTAGTTTTACGGGCCTATAAACAAGATCATCGTAAAATATGGATGCGATGTCTCATATGAAATAAGATTTCTATAGATAAAGTCAAACTTCCAATCCAAATTTTGTATCCAAGAAACAATTTAGTAAAGGTTTTTTAAGTAATTTTTGGTCTATACTTCCGTTTTAGCATAATAACATCGTAGACTAAATTTTCGCGAATTTATAATTTTAGGTCGAATAGTGAATGTTTCTAGTGTAATGGCGCGACTTAACTACCCAGGTAACACAAACTACCAAATATCAAAACATGGAGTGGAAACAATGAGTGACTCTTTGAGACTTGAGATGATTAAGTTTGGCGTTGGAGTGTCTATAATAGAACCTGGGGAGTATGATGCGGCAACGTCCTGCAGCAGTACAGAAATGGTAAACTTGAAATGATAAAAAAAAAAAAGATTTATTAAAACGTATTTTGAAAAAAAATGTTTGATACGTTTATTTTGCATGTGTGTGTGTTTGGCTCAACACAGATACAGTTATGTTGTTTTTCTTCCGTCAGAAATAAGTTTTATATATTTTTTTTTTAATTTAGAAACAAAACCCTAATGACATTTGAACTTGTCGTTATGTAGAATTGACGGAAATATGCTTGATAGTTGATATCTATATGTATCAATTTTGTGGGTGTCATACGATGAGTAGTGAAAAGGTGAAATTTTCCAGAATTGGTAAAAATGTCCTATCAAATATGTAAAGAATACATTTACCTAAATAATTCTTGATTATATCGACATGTTTGAATATACCAATAGCTATTAGTTAAATCTACGATTGCAACGAATGAAAGCCTTTTATATTATGTTTACCGTATACCTGTTCTAAGTAGTGTAAGAATATAATTATATTTAGTTTAAGTAATTCGACCAAATAGGAGAAGACCATTAAAGCAACAATTCACAATGCATTGTATATCACGTAACAATACATGCAGAAAGTGGCATACACAACTGATTTAGTTAACTGACCAAATATTATCATCACTTTGAATCTGAAAAGATGCCCAGCATAAAAAGCGAAATTAAGATATTATCGTATCTTTTTATGGTATATCCAAAGTCTACCACGTAATTATTTTCAACACGATTTTAAGGCTCATTAAAAGAAGGTTAAATTCCGTCGTTTAAATGTTTTTAATATGTTTTTGTTTCAGTGCAAGAGAGTGAAGGCAGATTGTGAACAGATGTGGGATAAAGCATCAGAGGAGGTTAAAGCGGTATATGGGAAAGACTACTTCTATCTACCATATGAAAACATGAGGCAATACGGGGAGACCGGTTCATCATCTACCCCTAACCCAGTCTTAAACGCAATTGAAGATGCTTTATTAAATGTTCACCCTAAGCCACGATACCTTGTTGATGGTGGATGTGGTCTTATAGACAAAACTGCAGTAAGTTGTTCTTGCATTGAATATCTAACAATTGTCTATGTGTCAATTATTTTTAAAAGTATCCATGGAAGAGTTTACGTTTGAATATTCAGTAAACTAAGACAAAGGACGAAACTTGAATAAAAGTTCTGTATATATAAATAAGAAGATGTGGAATGAGTGCCAATTAGACAACTCTCTATCCAAGTCACAATGTATAAAAAGTTAACAATTATATGTCAAAGTACGGCCTTCAACACGGAGCCTTGGCTCACACCGAACAGCAAGCTATAAAGGGCCCCAAAATGACTTTTGTAAAACAATTCAAACAGGAAAACCAACGGTCTAATCTATATAATAAACGAGAAACGAGAATCACCTATGAACCACACCAACAAACGACAACCACTGAACCACAGGCTCCAGACTTAGGACAGGTGCATAAAAATGCAGCGGGTTTATACGTTTTAACAGGCGCCAACCTTCACCCTAACATGAGACAGTAGTGTAACATTACAACATAAAAAGACACACTATAAAATATCAATTAAAATGGCTTAACTCGATTAAAAAGACATTTAAACAAAAACAAGTAAACATACACTGAACGAATAAGTTTGATCTATGACACAATATAAATACAATATTAAAACGTAGGTGCCTTTATAACATAGACGTTACACATAGTAATACAAAAGGTGTAGGAAGAGTGTCAATAAGACAACTCTTACCTGGGACAAAATGGCGTTAAATAAAACAACGTACACAGGTAATTTAAATATAATAATTTTGTTGTTAGGAGTACGGAAGTAAACTTTTTTTACAAAATAAATAAATTAGTTGTTCAGAGTACGAGTACAGAAGTGAACATTTATCGTCAAACTTAATAGTGAGACGAGATATAACACAAAATAAGTAAACATTAAATTACAGAAATGCATTACAAATTGTGTCAACAGGTCAAATTAACACGAAAGTACGATTTGAGAGTACTCGCAGTTACTGAAAGCTAGTTAAAAGCCCCAAAAAATTAACAATAAAAATTCATGCATCAGCGACTAAAATCAATTAAAACACATCCCAGGGATACAAGAATTTAGTAAATGTTTTAAGTAATTTATGGTAACGAAATCCTATTTGAATATATTATATCATTTCGCTATGGACCCCAATATTTAAATTGTTTTTAAAAGCCTCAAGTTTTCCACTGGCTTGAAATTATTTCAATTTTAACAAGTTATGTATAATTAATCCATAGTTGGATAATTTAATTTGTTTTCATGCATTAAGGGTTTGGTGGAATATTATATTCACATCTTATTATTCCTCGGGGAGGGGGGTATCATCATCTCAGTAGTCAGTGCTTTGGTACTGACATGATATATATCCTACTTTTCTAAAATTAGCCGTTGATAAACTAGGAAACTATTAAAACTAAGGTTCCAACTCCCTCAGGAAAAGTTGACCATAGATGAATTAGGCTATTTTTTTAGTTCTCTTTTGGTCATATATTTTCTAATGTTTACGGACCTATACATACCAAATATTTATGTTTGGACGTTCCTGATAAAGGTAGGTCCAGAAAAACACATCGGACGCACGAAATTAATAGAGTGTTATTTTGATTTACGCGCACTGAGTCGACACTACTACTGGTGGACTGTAAGTCCCCGAAGGTAACATTAGCTCAGTAGTCATTGCTTAAGTACCAACATGATTTATATCTTACTTTCTAAAAATTCCCTTTTGAGAAATTAAGAAATAAAAAAAAAACTAAGGTTCCAAATCCCTCAGACAAAGGTGACCTAATAGATTGACTATTCTTTTTAGGTCCGTTTTGTCATAAAGCTCCTAACGTTTGTACGTATTTATACATCCATGGCTTTTCAAATGTTAATGTTTGAACGCTCCCGATGAAAGTAAATCCAGAAAAGCGTTATGAACGTTCGAAATCGATGGAATATTATTTTCATTTTTTCAATCAACTTTTTGTCCATAATTCCCTTTGCATTTAAAGATATGGTATCCCAATTTTTTTCCATTTTCAATGAGCCACAATTTCTGTGTTCGGTGTTCGGTTGATATCATTTCAGAAGTTTTTCAAAGTGACTTTCTTTACAGTATTAATCTGTTATTCTTTATACTTAGTTTAGGGGCTAAGTTATAATCAGAGCAGGTATCTCTACTGATATAAGTCCCGTTATATGTGAGTTCATATAGCTCAAGTTTTCATTCATGGTATTTTCTAAAGTTTACATGTGACATGTCATTTATTACGTGCTAGGCTTATTTCGTTCTTATCGCCGCGAAATAGCCTTCCTGTGCTGATGCGATGTAAAGCAAATACCAATTAATCAATCACATTTTGACAAATGTTCTCGCAATCATGTAATGTAAGGGTTGTCAATGTAACATTGTCGCTTCGGTATACTTTTTGTTTACTTATATTATGTCATTATTGTATCAGCAAATGTTTTCATTTATCTTAAGAAATTACAATAAGCTAGACAGAAAGGTACTTCGCTACACACTCGTATGAAATGTTTTATATAATTTGATGTCTTTGTTGTTTATTCATTTTTGAGACTTGGCAATTTTATGTCTGCAGATAATGGCCAGAATAGACAGCTTTCTACCAGAATACATTAGTGACTTTATTTGGAGTAGCAGAACTGGGTGTTATAAATCACCACGTGATCAGTCTGTTTGAAAATGCAAGACAATACATATACATCAATTGAAATATATTTAACATAAGTTAACAATAAAATTCATACATTTTTCAACACATGTTCAGTTTTATTGGTCAATTGTTAGATGCTTTATATCATATATTCTATCACAAATATTCGATCTATGCCTATTTGGAACGCACAAATCTGAATTATTAAGTAGACAGGAATAGTAATGAACAAACGAATGATTGAAATTACTTGCATAACTGAAATTAAGTACGTATCGGAGAAGATAAGAAATTTAGCAAAGGTCAATCCAGTCATTTGTTGCTCGGATCTTTAAACTATAGATTGCATTAAGGAGTGCCAGCGTCTATCAATTCGCTAATTTATAGTTTGAAGCAATATTAATTGAAAAATCTAGTTTAAGGCAAAGCATAACAAACAAATAATTTATGTGGAAAATAGCAGCCACAGTTCACTTCGAATGACGAGATCTGACATGATAGCAGAATGCCGACGTAATTGATTTAATTGACAAGTCTGTGCACCATTGGTGACAATGGATGCTCAAGTTCCTCAAGGTTAAATATAAATGAGAACGAGGGCCATGATCCCCTAATACGTCGGCTCATATTCGCATCACCCCCTGGTTGTCAGGTTAGTGAAGATTAACAATTTGTAGATCATAAAACAGTTAAGCACGAACTGGTACCAATTCAGAACCGGTCACTCATGGTAGACATGAGATGGTCTCAACAGAACTTCCTGCGGTATCGCAAGAAAGTAAAAACCTAATATGATCCGACGTACAATAGAGGAAAGGATCATAACCCCTTAATCTTGCCACGTGAGTGGGTCTATACACACTCATCAGAATCCCCCCTTCCCCTTCCCGTAAAAAGACCCCTTAGAAAGTCCATTTCCAATTATACTTCGGGGAAAGAGCGAATTTTGTACGATGATAGGAAAGTTTCAATTCCCCCTTGAATGTTGTTTAAGTATATATATCGTATCCTATACAGGATAAGTGAGTTCCGTCAAACCTATACAAGATCATTTCTCGAGCTCGGATATATTAGGATGATGAATAATACAGTGTCCGTCCTTCAAGACATAATTGTTTATAGCAGAGTTTACTCGTTTTCGAGATTGTTCAATAGCTTTTCCATGTTTTGCACCATGCCAATACCTTCTCATTAACATTTTATAGCTATAAATACGTTACCATCATAAATTCTGAGTATACCCCAACTGCGTCATAAGGTCAGATGGAATATCCCCCGACTAAAAATAAACGTACTATCACTGGTCCGGACATATACCCCTGTGTACCCATATTCTCCCATTCAATTTCCATCTGCGACATTGGTCACACGTGTATTTACTATTACAGATTTATCAGAGAAGAATTTTGTTATTGGAAAGTTTTTGAATTGCTTATATATTGTGTATTATTGGAAATTATTCCATTGTTTAGTTTTAATTTCTAGACAAATTATTTTTTTTTTGACTAAATTTAATTATGGACTTTAATTTGAATAGTCCTTTCGTCACTATTCCTGGTTCGTACTTTCTCCTGGATGGGTCACTACCTTTAAGCCCCCCCCTTTACTACCAGTACATTAACCGGAGTTTCGACAACGGTTTCTGGTAATGCTAACTGTCCGACCCTTTCACAAGGTTCGGTCATGCATTTTTGGGTGGGTCCTTACGTCAACTACGGTGACTCATATCTTATCTAGGCCTGTTAATTCATCGGGTACTATTCGTTCTGTCCCAGGTACAGCTATGGGCTTGAACTTGCCAGGTTGTAGACCCCCAGTATCCTATTGTGGGTATATGCTTCCCAACTCGGGCACCCAACCTTTACCCTCATGGTCTCGGCCACCTTGGCCACATTCTTACCCTTATGGTGGGTTTATGCCAAACCAACCTGGTTTTTGGCCTTACAGGGACAATTTCTATGGTCCCTCTTCTGGGGTAGCTACTGTTCCATCTTTAGCTCTAACTCCACCTGTAGCAGTATCTTTGACTCCTGCAGTAGCTCCTTCTGCGCCCGTACCTGACACTCGAGCTCAGTCTTCTAGCTCTTCTCATGGTATTCAGGGTTCTGATTCTGCACCATCCTTAGATGGTTTTCAGAAGTTACTTTTTGGACTTTGGTGAGTCTTTCAAAGCTGAGTTTAGTACTCTATCCAGTCGTATGTCTCTACTGGAGAATAGAGTTTCTTCTCATCAACCTTCTCCAGCTAAGTCTGTAGAATATGATGAGAGGGAGGATGACGAGCTTTCTGTCCCCCCGGGAGTCAAGAAAGGGCTTTCCTCACTGATGAGGATGATGATAGTTCTTCTTCTCCGAAGGTATAGAAGACGGCCCTTGAGCCTTCTTCTAAGTCAGCTCGCCAACCTGCCACCAAGGAGACTGAGGGTCCTCCTTCATCTTTGAAGGATCTTAAGGATAAGGTGTATATCTTGATGAGTGATGAAGCACATATCCCTTTTGCCTCTCCTCCAAAGCCGAAGAGACTTTCTTCAACTTTTGAAGCTTCCTGTGGTATTTCTCAGGATTCTGTGACTTCTCACAATTCTTTTCCTGAATCTGGCCATATGGCATTTGCTTTACAAATTATCAATGAAGGTATTGCTAATTCTGCTAGTGAAAAGGTTGCTAATAACCAAATTTCTGGTTTTGGTATGTCTTTCTTTTCTGATCAATTCAAGTACAAAGATTTTGATATCTTTGATTCTTCGTTGGGTAGACTTGTTCCCACTTGTGACAAATCTTTTTCATCTTTATTGGGAACAAAGCCAGTAGATGGTCTTCATCACACTCAACCTGTTTGGGCAAAGACTGAGAATCTCCTTCGTAGTGCTTCTCAAGTTCTTGGCACAGCCGAACATTTTCTAGCTGCAACCGGACAATTGCTTAACAGCGAAGATTCGGTTGTTCCAGTGGAAGTACGATCTTTCTTACTTCAACTGGATAAAGCTCTAGGTTCATCTCAGTTGCTTTTAATGGGTTCTATTGCTAATTGCACCCTATCTAAAAGAGCAGAGTTTCTTGAAAAAACTTCTGTTGCTGAGTCTTTGAAAGATTCTTTACTGAAATCTCCACTTTCTGACAAGATTTTTGGTTTACCCGTACAGCGGGTTCAAGAGGAACTCAGTGAAAGCCCTCCTTCCGTCAAAGTTAATGTACAAGTAAACAATGGCAAGAGGTCGGTTAATGCTACCTCTAGTTCTACTAGTACTTCTGCTTCTGGTGGTCCTCTTCTTCTACTAAGAAAAGGAAGATTAACTACGGCAAACCTCAGAACAAATCCCTTAACTCCGGTAAAAGCTCAGGTAAGTCTTCTGGTGGTTTTAAGGGCCCCAAGAAATCTGGGTCTAGTACCTAGGTTCTTGCCCCCTCGTACGTTATTGACAGCTTCCCCAGGGGAAAATTTCCTCAAAAATCCATACCAGTAAGGGGGAAGGTTAGGTTTTTTCCTAAATCAGTGGAAGAAAATTACCTCAGACTGTTATGTGCTGTCAATAATTCGAGGGAGATTAACACTTTAGTTCAAGAACCCACCTCCTCTGTTTGCAGTTCCGATTAGTTTGTCTCATACTAAAGACCCCGTTAAGTAACAACTTCTATCAGTAGAAGTAGACACAATGTTACAGAAATCTGCAATAGAGGAGGTGTCGCTCTTAACTCTGTCTCCGGGATTTTATTCCCGTCTCTTTCTGGTTCCAAAGAAGACGGGATGAATGAGGCCGTTCATAGACCTATCTATTCTGAACAACTTTCTTATTGTTCCCCACTTAAAAATGGAAACCAATATAGGCCTTGTTCTCCCCCCAGAGGAAAAATTTACAAAACTATGTCAGAAAATACATCTATTCCTTACTGTTCAAGCAGTCACAGCACATCAATTCTTGCAACTTCTGGGTCTATTGAATTCTCTGGCAGATATAATTCCATTGGGACGCCTTCACATTTTTGATTCATAGTTTTAGTCTTGAAAGACCAAGACAAAAAACTTTAGTTCTAAGTGGGACCTTGGACTAGTCAATGTGTTTGTATTATCTTTCATTTTTGCTGGTGTGTTTTGTATATGCGACTTTTTGTGTTTACGTGGTTCTTATAACGTGGGATCTGTACTTTAAAAGATCCCGTCATTATTTTATTGTTCTATTATATGTCATTATGTTATTGTTCTATTATAAATTTGAAAATACTTTGAACGACAAACGACAAATTTATTTTACTCGCGTAGTGGTATTTACCATATGTGGATTCTTTAAAATTCTAAAGAACTTCTGGACAATTTTAAATCTCGGTATATTTCTGAAATTAATTCTAACATAACTTTTGATTTTTTAACCCTGTATACCAACATTCCCCATGTGAAATTATAAAATAGTTTTGAATAAACATTGAATGACAAACTTTTTTCTTATGTGACGTTTACATGTTCTGACGTCAGACACGCGAAGCAATGAATGTGGTTTTTAATTTGATAGATGCTTTTGTGCTTTTTTTTTAAATAATTGTTTGTTTTGATATTGTAACACAGTGATGACTGCTGTACCCATATTTTGACTATTTTATTTATAATGTCTGTTTTGTTCACGCATCGTTGTAAATATAACGGAATTTGATAAGACTGTCGTACAAGTGAGAGGTTTAGCGCTATAAAACCAGGTTCAATCCACCATTTTCTACATTTGAAAATGCCTGTACTAAGTCAGGAATATGACAGTTGTTGTCCATTCGTTTGATGTGTTTTGTCATTTGATTTTGCCATGTGATTAGGAACTTTCCGATTGAATTTTCCTCGGAGTTCAGTATTTTTGTGATTTTACTTTTTATCCTTTTTAAAACTTTCTCCTTTTGAAACAGCAGAAAAAATAGATTTAAGGTTTCTTTCCTATAAATGCTGTTTTCTTGTAGCTTTGGCTTCTGGACGGAGAAGGAGTGATATCCATGCCTTCTCTATTTCTGAAGCTTGCCTTCGATCTAACAGGGATAAATCTTCTGTTACTCTTTTTACTAATCCTGTTTTTTTGGCAAAGAATCAGATTCCAGATAAGGGTGCAGAACCAGTCGTGATTCCTGCATT